CTCAAAAAATTTCGTCAAAAAAATCCACTGGGAACCGCCCCAAATGGCGACGGCCGGACAGAGACTCCTATATAAGGACTTATTTGACTCTTTTTATGCAACTTCGAATACTATTATAAAGTCATTTTGTAAAATGATTTTAGAACAAAGGGGATTATTGTAGAAAAATTGCTTTTGGCTCTAAAGTTGAAAGTTCAACTAAAAAGTGATTATTGCAAAAATACAAAATGCCCTTAACTAACTGGAATGCTAAGTTTAAAAAATCGAACTCGGAGCAACCCAGCCACATGATTGGGTCACAGGTCAACCCGGATCAGATGGGTCAACTCGGTCAATGCAGGAAAACCGGGCAACGATTATACGTCTATATAATAATACTACCTCCGTCTCATTTTATGTGTCTCACTTTGACTTGACACGATTATTAATGAGATGTTTGAAAAAGTGACAGCAGTGGTTAATGTTTAAGTATAATAAAGTGAAATGGTGTAAGTCACATATTTTTTTTCAAAACAGGAAATGAGACACCTATTTTGGGACAAGCCAAAAAGAAAAGTATGACAGGTAAAATGGGACAGAAGGGTAACAAGCATATAATTATATACTCCCTATAAAATTATAATAAAACGTAGTTATTATATATATATATATATATATATATATTTATAATAAGCAACTAACTATACTACGGGGTACTAAGTAAGCATTTAATACACTCTCATAATACTTCAATGTATGATTTTGATCATATAAAAATATATAACAATATTTTTATATGTATTTTACATTTATATATTATAATTTGGCATAAATTTCATTTTTAAATAAATATATAAATATATTAGATAGTTTTTCTTTTTAGGGTATTGAAATTGCAATTATATTGATTAAAAAATGAATTCAAATAAAAAAAATTGGAAAAATACCCAAAACCGGGTTTTCTCGGGTTTTTCGGGTTTCTTGGGTCCGGGTCCGGACTGGTTTTTCCTGAGTCAGCCGGGATTTTCCGATTTTTGGCCATTTCTGGATTTTGAACAAACCGAATCGGGTTTTTGTCTGGGTCGACCCAGACGGGTCGGGTCGATTTTTTAAACATAGCTGGAATGTTGAGCTATTATATCACCGTATTTATTACGTAGTATCTTTTTCCTTACATGTGTTTGGCAATGTTACTTTCAAAAGATAATATCTCTTACAATGTTGGTTTATTTATGTATTGGTTTAATTTGAAGAAAACTATGATAACATCAAAATGTTTTAAATTAAAAAAGTCCGTATTTATATTTCTAATGCAGTGACATTTTCAAAATCATCAAATAAGTATATACTTTCAATGGTGTCATTTGACACCACATCACTACAAGAAATGTTACATTTCTTGACACTCATTTTTATTGACATATAAAAATGTGTCACAATAACAAACATATATTGACACTTATGTGTGTCAAGATAACTATTTCTTCTAATTGAATTTATCTACGAGTAATACGGAGTATTATTCAAGTACTCCTATAAACATAACAAATTGGCCTCAAAATTCTACAAATTAGTCCAAAGCCCTATTTCCTTCTCTACCTTATCCGATCAACCCTTCATAGCAATATTTGTATCCATGGCGGCAGCTGAAAGAGAAGAACTAAACAGCCATGTTACGAACGCAGAAAACGAAGAATTTTTTTGTAGCCTCAAGGAGAACACCAACGATAGTGCCATGGTTCAGGAGTTAATCGGAGATCTGACCCGTCTTTCGCTGCTTCACCAACTTTCAAATTTCTGGTAAATTTTTTGTATCTATGTTTCGGAGCTAAATAGTTTTGTTCTCTATCTTGGTATGTATACGAATCTAGCTCATTTGGATTTTAGTATCTAGAAAACAGTTTTACTTGAAAATAGCTATTTTTAACTTTTTATTGATGATTTAATCTGATCGTGAGTGATAAGGTTGCATCTTCCATCTTGCTAATGGCTCTATTTGTCCATTCAAGGTCGAGAAATAATATACTGATATTAATTGGTACGTATTCACCTTTGATGACACATGAGGTTCTCTGCATATAAGGTGCTCGATGAAATTCCTAAACCATATACAATTTTTCCACTTCTGAATATATGACTCCTTTATGCAGCTAATGTTCTTTCTGTTCTCAGTTGAATATTTCCAGATGAAGAGACTCTCTTTGAGTTTACATTCAGTTTGAAATTTTTTGTTGGATTATATATCCATTTACGAGCATATATAATGTTGTTGTCATATGTTTGAATTAATGTGATATATGACCAAAATATAAGTTTATTCAAATAACCAAGTTTAGTGGGAGTGAGTTGGCTGACGAGCTAACAAGTTGAACGCTATCAATCGCTTTGATGTTTTTACTTGTCTTGTGAAATGAGCTTAAATAATACTTTATTGGCATCTTCTATGGAAAGTGGGATGATTGGTGAAATGAATTTATAATCATGCATGTATATAGAAATGCATCTTCAGTAATGTATAATTCTTTATGTTTATCAAAAGCTTACAATTGTATATAATATCCTTCTTTTAGTCCTAAATTAATCTATTATGGGTTTTATTTGCTTCTAGGCAAAACTACTGATCCCATAAGTGGTTTTGCTACTCTTGAGAAGGAGTTTCCTAGAAGTTTAACACCCATGCTTGGTGATAAAAAGGTATGTAGTAGGTTGGTTTTGCATCTCTACTAACAAGTCATTGTGATTCATATAAATATTTTACGGCCTATGGTCATTATTCAGTTTGGATTAATCAATGTTCATCTCTTAATTATAGTTTTTATTATTTTATAATACAGGTTGAACACTTCTTGGGCATAGAGTGGAAATATGAGCTGGGCAGGGAGTCTCTATCTATCTGCTTTGTTTCTGGAGTTTAAGAATGAATGAAATGAGCATTTGAGTTCTCTATCGTCTGTGGTTGAGCAATGAGAGGAACACCCTGGATGAGGCTCCCTTCACCCTTCGTGCAGGAAGTGATGATATCCTCGGGGAGTCAAAATTAAATAATACTGGCTCAAGCACGTCAGGTTAGTGTTTATGAAGTGTAACACTAAAAGTAATAAACTCTCTATGTTTCATTTTATTTAAGATTTTCTTATAAGAATATAATGTTCATTGTTCATTTAGGAACTGAACTACCAGACTGTAAGGGAGAAAAAGTTGATCTTTTAGTAAGGTTTGGGTTATTGAAGTTTGCAACTGAGATTGACGGTTTGATCAGGTGTGTTAGTGTTCAGGTTCCTTTTTTTTCAATAACATGGGTACACCTCTTTAGCTGTTGTAAACTTCATACTGTAATTTTTAATTTTATTACGGAGTACTTATTAATGCAAGCTTAGAAAGGAAATCATTTTTTACTTACAACCATTTGTTATATTAGAAAAGATGGTCCTCATCAATAATATCGTCATCATGGTCATCACCTTATTCCCAATTATGTTAGGACTTAGGCGTGGCCTGCAATTTTGGTGTTGACATATTGTTTAGAATAAATAGACACTATAAAGAAGTTGCTCTGTGGGATTCAAGTGCATCTGTCTATACTCTGTGTTCTATTTGTCTTCTGCTCTTAGTTTTGAGTACTAATAAAACAACTCATTAGACTTTAATTCAGACTGCTTTTGAAGTCTAACTCCAAATCTGTTTGTCTGGTCTCATAATTTATGAAGAAGCGCATGGTAAATTACATATTACTGTTGGTCAAGTGGATTTTTGATTGGTTTTGGTTGATTGAGCTCTGGTTCTAGGCTTTGTCATGTATTTTTCAGAAACGTTTTATTGACTGTTTTCAAGTGCAGGACAATTGTTGTGATGAACAGTTTTTGTGAGGATTGATTCTAATACACTTTCTAATTTCTAAGATAAATCACTTTAAAGATTTATGATTTTTTTTATTATTTGCTTGAAATATCTTCTTAGGCTCTCTACTTATTTTTGGCTCTCTACTTATTTTAACAACAGAGTTTTAATTTCTATCCTACCCCACATTTTGCAGGTGATTGGCGGTGAACCTTTGCCTACAAATATGACAAATCAACCGGAAGCCATCAATGAAAAGGAGCTACTTAGAGATTTATTATATTGTTGCCTTGCGACTTCTGTTCTTAATTTGTATGTTTTTAAGGACAAACTATTCTTGTATCTTTGTTTTTATGATGTATTTAAAACATTTTCGGGTGAAGAGATTATCCGGTCAATACATTCTTATTATTATCAACATGCATTAGACTATTAGAGTTATTTTTAGCTAGCATATTATGCACGAAAATAAGGAAACATGAATTTCTTTTACACGTGTGTCACCAAATACATTCCTTGACACATAAAAAAAAAGGTTAAGGGCTTAGTACATTTCTTGACACACTTATGTGTCAAGAAAAGTGTAAATGGATTTGCCAACACATGTGTTTGAGTGTGAAGAAATGTTTTTCCTAACACCGTTCCTAGTGACACTTTTTGTGTGTGTTGGCAAATCCTATAAGTGTCTACCTTGACACTTTTACTTGTTTTCTTGACACTTTTTGTCTGTCATAGAATGTCAGTTTGCTTGTAGTGCATGTTAACAACTTAACACCATGTCCTTGTTTGCTTCTCATTCCTAGTAATGTAATTTTATTACTAATTACTTTTTTTGATAAATTCTTATAGACGGAACAAATTGTAAAAAGAAAGTCATTATTATCAAAATAATTACAAAATGCATACGTACAATTAACTCATAATTTAGAGGAAATCATATCTTCTATCATGAACAGTTTCTCTTATTAAAGGTGCTGGATGCATGGTTTTCCTCCATTCATTTTATAATTTAGGATTTTTTACAAAAATACGATTAAAATAAAAATTATTTACATGAATATAATTATTAGTTACTACAATGTAGTGTCATAGTAACTCAAGTTTAAAATTTAAACATAAGTTATTATGATTTTATTACTACTGTAGTCACTAATTATATTTTTATAAATTGTCTTCATTTAAGGAGTATTTGAATCTGATTCTAAAACTATTGCTGCTCCTTTAGGGAGCAGAAACAGAAGTTGGAGTGTTTGGATAAAAGTGCAGAAGTGATTCCCATGCTCTATTTTACTCATATAATCAGTTTTTCTAGAAGCTGGGGGAGACTAGCTTCTGAAAACCGATTCTGATTCCGCTTCTACTTTAAAAAAGAAGTAGAAGTAGATTCGGTTCCAAACACCCCCTTAGTCATAAATATGTACTCCATACTACGTAACTTATATTTGACGTATGTCAATAACTCCATACTCCCTCTGTTACAATCCCACATCGGAAAAGTTTGAATCAACAAAGTGCTATATTAAGACATGAGCTACTTCTCCTATCAGGTTAACCTTTTAAGATGGAACCCCGATCTTAACATGATATCAAAGCCAAATAGATCCATGGTGTGGACCCCCTTATGAAAAATGACAACACGATTATAGAAAAAAATGACAATGACGAACCGACGAAAAAAATGAATGACGACACGATCCAGACGAAGTGTCTGGTCTTGAGGAGGGGTGTTAGAATCCCACACCGAAAAAGTTTGAATCAACAATGTGTTATATTAAGACATGAGATACTCCTCCTATTAGGTTGACCTTTTAAGATGGAATCCTGGATTTTAACACCCATTTTTTTGTTTGCTACACTTTCTATTTTTGGATGTATTAAAAATTTGTTACATTTTTTTTGGTAAGTTTTTCATTTAAAAGTACTTAAGTACCCTTAGTTTTTTTACATTTTATCTTCTCTTTCAAAATTCCTTTCATTTTTTCTACGTTATTCATTACACCTACTATTTCACTCTTAAAATAAGTGTCAAATATCAAACAAAAACAAAAATGATCTTTGTACTCACTCTTATACCCACTTTGTACCCACATATGTTTGTGAAGTGTTTTTTTTTGTCTGTGAACCCCGGTTCACTAACAATATTTTGCACAGACAATATATTGTCTGTGAAGCAGGTTCACAGATAAAAAAACATTCACAAAAATGGTGGGTATAAGGTGGGTATAAGAATGAAGTATGTTCTATCAAAAAAATATAGGATACATTCTTTTCACACAATTTGACTTCCTCTTCTTTTTCTTTTGGGAAAACTATCAAATAAGCCCCTCTACTTTTAAAAAAAATCAATTAGACCCCCCAACTAAAATTTCACTCAAATAAACCCTCGAACCTCTTTTTAAAATAGCAAATCCCCCCTTTTAACCGATAGCTCCCAAATCCCGGTTAGATTGCACATGTGGCGTATGACATGGCTTTTTTCCTTTCTCTCTTTTTCTTTTTCTCTTTCTTTTTCATTTTCCTTTTCCATTTCTTTCCTTTCCTCTGCTTCTTCACTCCCGCACCCTTCTTCCCTGCGCACACCTGCACTTATTTTCTTCCTTTCCCGTTCTCTTCTTTCCCTACTTCTCCTGCCTCACTTCACCCTTCTCACCTTCCTCCGCCTTCACTCCAGCTCCCTACTTCTCCTCCGTCGACTACGGTGGGACCGAATTGAAGTTGCGGCAGATCTGTAAAAGGCCGGCCTTGAGGTCTCACGGAGCACCGTCTCCGAACCGGAAGCTTCAACGGAGCACCTTCACTGACTTCCAAGCCATCCAATCGAGGGAAGAGGACGACAGACCCAGCGAGGAGGCGTCCGCCACTCCGACGTGCGATGGATACTCCAGAATCTCCGACGACGAGGGTTTGTCTCAAGCAACGGTGTGAAGGGACGACGACCGGTCGGTGGGAATTGGGAGAGGAAAGAAGAAAATGGGAGAAGAAAGGGTGAAGGAGGAAGGGGGTTGCTGGAAGCCTGTTACGGGCGTAGGAGGAGGAGAAAGGGGAAGGACTGAAGCCAAGGAGAAGGGAAAAAGAAAGGAAAAAGAAAAAGAAAATGGAAAAAAATGAAAACTGCCACGTGGGTCACCACGTGTGCACAGTAACCGGGTAAGCAATTCATTACCGGTAAAAAGGGGAGATTTGCCACTTTAAAATAGGTTGGAGGGTTTGATTGAGCGAAATTTCAGTTGGGGGGTGTAATTGATTTTTTTTAAAAGTATGGGGGCTTTTTTTGATAGTTTTCCCTTTTCTTTTCCCATGTACTGTATTCCGTATATTCTGTTGAGTAATTTTCTACCTACTCAACCAGAAATCCAGAAATCTTTAGCTGTGTCCCGCCCCCATCAACAATCAATGCGCCCAGCTCTTGCCGGCAGGTAACAATCCTCTTCGTTGCTACAATCAATTTACTTCTTCGTGATTTTTCATCATTTACCTTTGAATATATTCCTCCGCATTTAATTATTCTGATATAATTTCTCCCCATTTCTGTTTTACGAAGTATTATCATTTCATAGCACCCATTCTCACTGTGATCTCTGATTACTATCTTTATTATCCTTCACCGCATCGTCCTCTCTCTACGCAGTTAGGGCGTTCTAGAAATCACCGCCGGCAGCAGCAGCCATGGCCGACTCCACTCAGCTCAAAGCCGACGCTCTTATGGAGCAGATGAAGCTTCACCTCGCCACTGAAGCCGGAAAAGAACTGATCGAGAAAATTGGCCTCGTTTACCAGCTCAATATCGCCCCTAAGGTGCTTTTCTTCTAATCGCTGAGTAATTTTTGCTTTTGTTTCTGCTATTTATTGTTTTTTTTTTTACCAAAAAGGCTCGATTTTGATGATGTCTGTTGGTTTCACTTTGATAGAAACTTGGATTCAACGAAAAGATTTATGTCGTTGATCTGAAGAAAGGGGAGGTCAAAGAAGGTCAGGGCTTCTGATTTCCTGCTAGATTTAATATTACCTCCGTCCCACTCAACTTTGCCAAGTTGATGTTAGGTGGGAAATTAGAATAGTAAAAACTGGGTGATTGAGGTTTGTGCGAGGAGAGAAATGAACAGAACCACAAATTCATCGCTTTTAAGGGAAAGTGACAAAGTTTATTGGGACAAACAAAAAGGGAAAGTTGGCAAAGTCCAGTGGGACGGAGAGATTATATAATTGAACATTTGAACACTATGAGTGAAAAATGGTTGTCTTTGGATGAATTCAGGAAAGTATGAGGATGGAAGGCCTGATGCAACCTTTTCCTTTACTGATGAGGATTTTCTAAAAATTGCAACAGGGAAGATGAATCCTCAAATTGCTTTTATGAGGTGCGCCTAGTTTTGGTGGTTTGCATTTTGAAGTAATGTGTTTTTTACTTTGTGGAGGAAGGAAATAGTTTTAATTCATACAGAAATGTTTGGCAAGAAAATTAATAAAAAAAAGTGCTTTCAAGAGTATAAAACTCTTGTATTGCGTAGTTTAGAAAACATCATATTGGTACTTATTAAAGAAGGCACATACTTATAAAAGTACTTAAGGAATAAGTCATCCTGGTAAAATCTGAGTTGTTTATGATTTTGTTTGTCAGGGGTGCGATCAGAATCAAGGGGAGTATCAGTGCAGCTCAAAAATTCACTCCAGATATTTTTCCAAAACCATCCAAGCTGTGAACAAGGAAATGATCAATGGACTGTACCTTTACGATGGATGCCATTTCACAGCCATTCTGCTAATGTTACTCCCTAGCATCTAGAGTAAACTGTTGCTTGCTAAGTTCTTAAAAAGAAAAAGGAAAGGATTTGAATTTCTCATTCATATCATATAAGAATGTATGTTAGCTAATGTGACATGGTGCTTTGGGGCATTGCATGATTATGTTATGTTATACTCCTTATAAAAGTTTGCATTTCACTTGGAATAGTAGATTCATTTTTCTTTGTTTTACTCAAGTTACACTTAGAGCCCACTTGACAGGGGATATTTGGCTGATATGGCTGTTATGTTTTCTGAGGTTTTAGCCAATCAAGTAAACTAATTATTCCTCAGTGAGCTAATTATTCCAACCAATCAAGTTTACTAATCTGTCGTGCAATCAATATTTAGGACTATATATGGGTGTCAGGAACCAGTGTATGTGTAACTTATGAATGGTTTTGTACTTTAGTTGAGTTGAAGCATTTGTACAGGCAATGCTGTTATATACTGAGAATGGTATAGATCCAACTGGAATTAGTAATATTTTATACTCCGTAACAACAAGTTGTACCCACCCCTTATACCCACCCACCTTATACGGTTATACCCACTTTGTGAAGGGTCTTTTTTTGTCTAAGAAGTTTATGAGTATTATATATATGAATCACTTACACCATCCTTCCACCAAAACAATGACTTGGAGTTTGTACTAAGTGCTCTATTTATGTGTTAATTTTTGTTTCAATCACATGCACTGCACTATGGGAGAATACACTTTTTGTGTTAGTTGAAAGCTATGAATGTCAAATTCCTGAATGAAAGAGTACTAGCTGACATGAAGGCATGAAGTATTCAAACCTGACTGCGGTTAAGGAATAAATAATAGACCATTTTGCATTAATAATAGGCCTGATGAGGATTAACTTATACGAGTACATAAGAAGCGTTAAATTTTCTTCTTCCCACCAACGAGGTACGATAGAATCCAGAAAAGTATTTTAATTCGCAACATAATGTAAGGTCTAACCAGAAGTTAAATTTCATTACTTCCAAAAAAACACTTCATTGCATAAAAGAATCATAATCCCCTCAATAAAAATATTTTGTTTATAAGTGCAGTTTTGAGGCAGTCATAACCCCCTCAATGAAAATTGGTTGGAGCACATTTCTGAGTATTCACTTTGGCCATTGTTCACGCCCCTGTTTGACTACCGCTCGCGGGGCCGTCATCTACTCCCGTCCCGGGGCGCTGAGGGGCTTTTGTTTTCGGAGGTTTCGTTGGAAACATGGTCTTCCCAAAGCACTTAAGCCATGTCGTCCGCACTAAGAAATGTCCGGCTTCGTCTCTATCCCCAATTTTCATAGCAGCAACTTCTGGTTTATTTCTATCTTCCTCGATTCGTTTCTATTTTTTTAGTTTCGGTGTTATTATTATTTATACATAATAATACATGTTCTATCTTTCCCGCCTGAAACTCCATGTCAGAAAGAGACATTAAAAAAAAAGCAAAAAAAGTGTATGCATAGCGCTACACCAATTCTATTTGGAGGACAATGATGAAGAATAACACGACGAAGTCAACTTTGGAAGCAAAAGGGCTCTTGTGACCCCCACAAGTTATGCTTAATAACTTAACTATGTGCCAATTAATTAGCATATTAACACAAGGTTAAGAATAAATGACACAATGATGCAACTATAATGCAAGTCCAAAAGGTCCAAGAACTTAGGATTATGCGATCTTCAATTGTGTATTGAATGATGGTATCTTTAAATGCAATAATCATCATTAAAAGAAAGTAAACTATCAACTTACACGCGGAAGAAGATGAAGGGAAATAGGGAATGAAGTCAGGTGAGTAACGCTAGCGCCAATTTTCGGATCCGGAACCTCCGCCTTGCTTTGCAGCAAGGTAGGGTGCCAGGATTTGGAGGGCCGTTCGATCAAACAACCAACGGTCGTAGATCTTGGTGGACCGCATCTCGAGGCGTCGTCTTCCTCATCTGACCGTCCATTGCCGCAAGGCACCTCTGCCGCAAAGCAGAGGATCTCAATCCCCAATTTTCTGGACCGGGTGGGTTCTTAGTCACATCTAACATTAACCAATCTATTGTAGGTTTGAATGCTTTCAAACCTAAGGGAGACACTGAGTAAAGTTAAGAGGTTAGGCCGTCATAAACCACATGCCTTTTATGCTTTTAAGAATTTCAAAATAAATTAAATCTGTCTATCACCATTATTTAAACATGGATTGCAATTTTGGAGAATCAAAACCACACATAAGTACATAACCGAAGAACCAATGATTTTTTCTGGATTACCATAAGGATAATCACAAACAAATAGGACACAGTAGCACACGAAAATCACCTTGCTTTATAGTACGTGTCATTTATTCCAATTCTGTTGAAGTATTGGCATGGCAATAAAAGCTAAAATCACAATGTCTTTAGTTCCATATAGTTTATGTTGCTGCCCGTCTCAGTTCTGAAGTGTTTTCAAGAACTTCAATTTCAAGTTCCACAACTGTTGTGGAGGAGAACTCAAAAATAAAGGAAGGTGGGTTGAAATTAGCAATTGTTACAGTTATGGTAAATCAAAGAAGATATAAATTTAAAAAAAAAAATCAAATGAATTGTTGGTATAAGTTTGAGAATGGTAAATAACTTACATGAAGAAAAGGAGCTAGAATTGGGATATTTCTTTCGACAATCCCTATGAACATATTTCTAATCGAAACAGGTACGGCGCCTTTTTGGGTTTCCAACGGTTGTAGAGCAGCACCTGCAAATGAAGGAAGTGAATAGTAATTATGAGATAGAAAAGAAGAAGATAGAAAAGAAAAGTGCTCCTTAACACCAATGTTATACTTTAATGTCTTCTGCCTTATCCCGAGCCTTCTCTTTTACTCGTTTTAGGGGTGTTTGGATCTGATTCTTAAAACTGATTCGGCTCCTTTAGGGAGCAGAAGTAGAAGTTGGAGTGTTTGGGTGAAAGTGCAGAAGTGATTTTGGTGCTCTAATTTACTCCTAGAATCAGTTTTTTTAAAAGCTGAGGGGGACCAGCTTTTGGAAACTGATTCTGATTCTGCTTTGAAAAAGAAGCAGAAGCAGAAATCAGTTCCAAACACCCCTTACTCTTCTACTCTTGTCTTTGGTAGACTAATGTGCCCGACCTTACTTATGGTTTTTTTAAAACAAGAATATTACTAAAATAAAACTTATTTACATAAATATGACTATTCATTACTACAACGTAGTGTTGTGGTAACTAAAGTTCAAAACTTGAACATGAATTACTATGACTTCATTACTACTCTAGTAACTAATCATATTTTTGTAAACCATCTTTATTTTGGTCATATTTATGCAATTATTTCTACTTATGGCCAAACAAAGCTCTCTGAGTCTTTTGTAACATCAGATTCCTGTGTTTCCTCCGGTCTTCTAGATTGAGGTGACTGACACAACAATGTCCTCCTCCTCTTCCCCCTCCTCCTCCACAACCAGGATTTTCTTAATGTTTTGGAACTATTTTTATTTATTTATTTCAATTTATTTGTTCTGAAAAAATGACGGAATTTTTTTATAAAGCCTTTTCAATTTGGAAATGTTTATTGGAGAAATAAATCCATTTCAAATTGGCAATATCAGTCTTTCTAAAACACAGAAACTTTGATGCCATGTGTTTCTTGTGAAAATGGCATTTTGGCAAATATTACCATTTTATGGCACCAAGTCAACGAAGATGACAACATTGTCATATTTTTCGATTTGAAGTTGTCATTATAAAGATGGCAATATAATACGAATGTCATTTAGATGGCACTCTAGTGCTAAGATGACTAACATTGATTGTTGAAATCTCTCTAGGCATTAGGTCACCACCTATTCTACCAGAGGCGCCACCTGTGCCTACAGACACCGCGGCACGATGACGATATTGGCGAAGGAAAAAGTCGTTGACGGAGAATATCGAGGGATGAGGTTGCTGTCGGATGAGATTGACGGAGGACGTCATCACCGGAGACTCTAGAGCTTGATAGCGCCGTGGGCGGAGTGCATCGGTGGCGCCGCTAGTGGACGATTGCGGCAGAGTGTAATGACGGCGCTGCTAGTGGGCAATGGCGGAGTGCAGCGGTAGCGCCACTAATGGGCGGCAGCGGCAGAGTGCTGTGGCGCCGCCGCCAATGGGTGGCGGTGGTGGTGGAAGGTGGCACCAATGTTGATAGATGCGACACTAGTTGCACCAGAGTTTCAAATCTTTTTAATTTATTTTTCTATTATTAAATATAAATATATCCACTGTTCTAAAAATCGGCCTAGTCGGATCGATTAATCGGCCTAATCGGCCTAGTCAGCCGTAACTGTAGAGCACTAATCGGCCTAGTCGGTCAAAAAATCGGCCTAGTCGGCTGTCTAGGCGCTAGACGGCCCTCAACCGCTTGACTAGCGTCTAGCGAGTTTTAGAACAATGAATATACTTAACATTTACTTAAGGTAATTTGGTCAAACCATATACTTTTTACTCCTATCAAATATTAAACTCTCATTTGGGAGTTTTAGCATCTTTTCTATTTTACTGTTTTCAGTCTCTGATCAGACCAGATCAGATCAGACTAGACTTCTGTGATTATAAAATACACAGAGACCAGACATTTATGACACCAAATCCAACTAGTTCAAATTAGACCAGCAAATTTCAATCTGAAAGAAAACATCTTTAATTGGACTTTTAGAATTACCCCAATATAATAAATATAAACTCGACTTTTTATCTCTTTCGGGCTAGGCCTTGGTCCGTTTCTAGCTCCCACCCCTACTTGTATCCGCTGCTGCAGGGGTGGATTCGGGTCGGGCCACCCGGCCTGTGGACTGGCCCGGCCCGCTACTGTGCGGGACCGGGACCGACCCGGTTCTCGGGTCCGGGTCCGGCCTAGGCCTGGGGGGGCGGGTCCGGGCTCAGGTCTTACATTTGGCGAACCGGCCCGGCTGGGTCAGGCCTGGGTCCGGGCCAAATTGATTTTTTTTTTTTTTTTTCATTTTTTGGGGTTCCACCCGGGTTGGGCATGATGGTTAGGAGGGGTTTGGGGGGGGGGGGTGGGGGGGGGTTAGGAAAGCAAAAAAACATAAAAACAAAAAAAAAAAACTGGAGGCCCGGCCCGGCCTGGACCCGGTGGCTATCCGGTCCGGTCCCGGGTCCACCAATTCTGAACCGCTGGCCCGCCCGGGCCTAGGCCCGACCCGGACCCGGACCCGGCCCTGCCCGAGTCCAGGCCTACGCTGTTGCTTCTCTCTAGGGTGGTTCGGTACGGTATACCTTATATTTTTTCTCATACCTTTGTTGTACCAAAACTTTCGGTATGCAAAATTTGCATACCTTTACCGTACCGAAGTTTCGGTATACTGCATTTCGGTATACCGAAGTTTCGGTTCGGTAACGGTACGGTATCGGTAAATTACCATGCATGTCTCCCAATACAAAAAATCATCATAGACTAACGAAATATACTAAATCGTTATTACTAGCGACATATTAAATCTATTATTAAAATGTTATGAAATACAATTAATAATCTATTGATGTCAGTTCAATATTGAACAATAATTATTATTAGTATATTTAAGCAGTTCAACATGCCACATATTAAAAAGTAACACATTCTCCTAAAATAACTTGAACAATATAGATATAATTGAATCAATAGTAATCTCTAACAAAAATAAATAAAACTATTCAAACAACATGGATATAAAATCATTTATTCCTAATATGATATTGTGTATTTAGTCATTTTTATATTTTTTAAAAATTCAATAAGACTTTCGGACAAAGTTGTGTGTCTCGACTCGTGGAATCCTTATATAGATACACATGTCACATAAGTGTATCTCTCTTCACTCGTCAGCTACTTAGCGGTCCAGCCATCACGACTTGCAAGCTCTTGGAACAAAATAGACTTGTTTCTTGACATTTGTACATTACTCAGTACTCATTAGTCATTAAGGTTAACGTAGTAGAAACGTATAAGGTTATAGTGAGTTTGAGAAATTGAGCCTTAATTTTTGTATTTGTAACCGACCTAAGTATTAATTATGGGCTTCACAATTGTAATGAAATTTTACAATTGTTGAGTAGGGAGTTGGTATGGTATTATACCGGTATACCGCGGTATTTCAAAACGTTTACCGTTAACGTATCGAAATAGATCGATACGGTATGATACCGTAACGAAAATGACGGTATACCAATATTTCGGTACGATAAGTGCGATATACCATCCCCAATATTTTTGTGTATTTTTGCCCACCATACTTCTTCTGTCTATCCTTTTCTTCGGCCTTGGCCGAAGGACTTCTTTCGAATTTTTATTTTCTGTGATTTGTTCTGTGAAGGCATTTTCTCTACCCTAATCGCTACAACCATCCCCCAATATTCTCAAAGATCCCAGTTTTAAGCATGTCGGTTCAGCTATGTGACGATCCATTTAAGACTATAAGTGAAATAGACCATTGTGATCTATTTCCTCGGAAATATGGTTTCCACCTCGCGTGTCTCTGCGAAGATTGTGTTCCAAAACTAAGAGAGCTCGCTGCTTTTGAGGAAGAGATAAAAAACAAGCGGAAGCTTGTCAGTGTATGTACTAGTACTTCAATATAGGAAGCGAATAAAGAGGCATAAACGCATGAATACTATATAGGTTAATCGATCAATAATTCTGCTTCGTATGATTTGTATGATTTGATGTTCAAGCAGGCATTTATATACCGAATGAATTGGTCACAAGATCGTTGTATGTTTCTGTCCACCGCCGTTGAGCGCACGAAAAAGACGCTGGATTTACTTCTCAATAACCTCTCAACAGTATCTAAGGTTCTTATATTCACCCTTAAGCATAAATATAAGTTTTTGAGTACTTATTTTAATGAAATATCATCATTCCCTAATAGGAGTTATGTTAGTACTAGTACTATTGTTACTGCTAGTAGGGGGAAATAATTCAAATAACATAACTTTGGCTGAGGTGGGGAAATAATTCAAATAACATAACTTTGGCTGAGGTGTGAGCTTAATACCCCAAAACATTACTTTACATCAAAGTAATATACTGTACATGATTATAAGTTATCATGGCTTGATTCATGTTAGCCGACCTAAAATCTTTTGGGATAAAACTTAGATGTTGTTCTTGTTGTTTTACATTACAAGTAACATCAACACCATGAAGTGAGAATATTTATTTTAGAAATATAAGCTTGGTAATTAGTATGCAAAATGCACCCTCCTAGATGTTTGTGCCTGAAGTAACCTATATCCATGATGGTAAGATAACCTTTAGTATATAGTTCATCATATTTGTCTTACACATTCAAGTTTGGGATATTTAGCTTAGGGCTGTTAACGAACCGAGCTTTTATCGAACTATTCGAGCTCGAGCTCGTTTTCGAACCTAACGAGCCGAGCTTAACGAGCATCGAACTCGAACTCGAGCTGAGTTTTAAGTTCGAAAAATTAATCGAGCCGAGCTCGAACATAGTAGTTTTCGGCTCGGTTCGAACTCGAGCCTATCGAACACCCTAAAATTTTAAATATAATTTTTATATATGTCAAAATTTAAATATAATTAGTATGGTTTTATGAATTTAAATATGATTATTAATGAACCGAATACTTGTCGAACCATTCGAGCACGAGCCTATTAACGAGCATCATCTAAAATTTTAAATTCGGGCATATTTATCGAGCTTATCGAGCGCTCGGTTCGAACATCGAACGCCTATCGAGCCGAACACGAGCCTCATTTGTAAAGCTCGCTGAGCTTCGAGCTCGAACCCGAACACCCCTTGTTCCTTAACGAGCCGAATTCGAGCTTTGGGTGTTCGGGCTCGGTTCGGCTCGTTAACAGCCCTATTTTAGCTCACACATGTTCAAAGTTTGCATCATTTATTTATTGTTTATTTCAGAAGTCTGGAATCTCACTTACGCTTAAACCAAGTGCTTCTGTAGCCAAACTGGAACAAACTGATTTGGTAATAGCTAGATTGCTAGTACAGCATGGCCTGATGAATGACTTTGAGAATGAAAATGCAATTGAGAGTTGTGAAGAAGAAGAAGAAGAAGAAGATGAGGATGATGATGATGATGAAGGGGAGGATGAGGAAGAGGAGGAAACTGATGAGGTTCTTCCTATTGGGTCTAACATCAGTTCTCTGGTAAGATAAAAAAATAATCTGGCATCATAACCAACACTTTAAGCATTATGCACTAATAGTTTTGTTCCTTAGTTTCTTGGAAATTTGTCTTGTGTTCATTTTAATTGCCCGGACTTGAGCTCTTTGTTTCGGCAGCTATTTTATTACGGGCAAACTAAGGTTAAAGATGTTGCTCATAGCCTACTTGAGAAGATTGATAATCTAGATAAAGAACTCTGGGAGGCTAAGAAATCTGCTGTAGCAGAAAATAAACCAATGGATCCCTTGGTTCCCATGAAGTGCATTGAAGAACAAATTAGGGTAACATTGTCTCTACGTAGAGTTTTGTTCCTTCAATTCCTGCATATTTTGTTGATGTAGTTGGGCTAATTGATATGCATGGCATCTGCAACATTTCAGCATATAAAGATGTTGCCGGTTGAGGAATTGCACGATGAAGTTAAAGAGCTGGTTGTTGAACTTACCGACAGGCATGAGAAAGTGGGGAGGGCTCTCACAGCATTGGATGACATCTCCACTACTTGCCGTGCTATGATTAAAATAAGGAATGAGTTCTTGTTAAAATATAATACGTGTGATGTATGCATACAATTAATTAATCTGTTGAATCAGGTCTCATTTATTCAAAAAATGCAAGGTTAAGATGCCATTTCATTAATCCTTTTTCTTGTGGTTTATGTGTAGATTTCATCCTTGACAAGCAGAAATGGAAATAAACACAGTTTGAGTGGGTTAGGAGAAACCCTTGATTCACTACTGACCCAGGTTTGTCGGATAAAAATCTCCTTAATTATTTTAGGGATATTATCATTGACCCCCTTGAGGTTTCATGTATTATCACTTACACCCCTACACTATTAAAAATATACTCTTACCCCCTCCTTATCTTGTAATGGAGTTAAATAACTCTTACCCCCTTGAAGTTATTTAACTCCATGAAAAGATAATGAGGGAGTAAGAGTATATTATTCATAGTGCAAGGGTGTAAGTGATAATACATCAAACCACAAGGGAAGTCAATGATAATACTCCTATATTATAAGACTTTAAACTAATATGTATGTACATGTTATATTTTTAATTTTTAAATAATTATCTCCAATGAATTAGGTTAAATTGTTCAAAGATCATTGGGAGACAGACTATGCCCCTTTCTTTACTCCATATGATCGGTTGGACCCTAAAAGACAACGGACTGCATAAATTTTGTGGATAGCTTTTCCTCGGATTACCCGATGTCGAAGTTAGATATTTGATATTTTTGTAGGGGTATTGTATTTTTTGAAACCACCACGCCGGCTGACCTAAAGTTTGCCTTGGGAACCCTTAAAAGTTCGATGCCTGATAAATTATCTTGATGCCAGGGATTACATTTTGTACTTCTAAACTTATATTATTATAAATACTGGTTTAAAGTTTGTGATGTGGTTTCTAATATGCTAAAAGGTGTAAGAAGCATTCACTGAATAATGCTGTTTGTAGTTGTGGTTATTGATATGCATTATATTTGGGGCTATTTATATCTAATGCTCTATGTCATGTATTTGATATCCTTTCTGGCTCAGCGTAGACTAAAATTGAAAAATCTTTCAATTTTTTGAATCATCTCTCTGCAATACGTCGGTATTGAGAACTAATCCCTCAATTTTATAGTAGCTGTCCTTGATGATACAAATTACAAATATCTTATTTTGTAGTTTGAGGATTTTCTGTGGAAACCGAATATAGTCTCAACCAGCTTAAGGGTGTGTTTGGATCTGATTCTTAAAACTGTTTCTGCTCCTTCAAGGAGCAGAAGTTGGAGTGTTTGGGTGGAAATGCAGAAGTACATATGGTGCCCCAATTTACTCCAAGAATCAGTTTTTTAGAAGTTGGGGGAGACTAGCTTTTGGAAACTGATTTTGATTTTGCTCTGCTTGTACTTCTTTTCAAAACACCCCCTAAATCTTATTTTCTTTTGCACTAGTTTTTTTCATTAATTATTTACTACATTAGCTCTTGTCTCCCATGTGGCTGAACTCACATGAACAATTGTACATTAAATTCTCTTTCATTAATAAAATCCTTTCATTGTCTTAAAAGAATACAAATATCTTTTTCTGTTTTTTTCCACTTAAAATTCCTCCCTCTGCGTGCTGTTTTTTTGGGTGTTTTCCCTCGAGAGTTTGAAGGTTCAAATCGGTAGGAATTACTCTGTACAAATGAACATCAGACCCAGACTTCTTTTAGAAATTTTGTAAGTATGTTAAAAAAGCTAAGATTTGAATTCCAATTAGTTGGGAACAATATTACAGTAAGACATTATTCAATTTGTTTAGATCACTCACCAGTCACCACTGCTCTTGGATGTGGATGCGCTGGGCTATGTGGGATCCATATGCCAATTTTAGTTGTTGGTCAAAATTCAATGAGGATGATAGCAAGAGAGAAATAAGAATAAATCACACCCATCAGAAATGATATACGAAGTATCTACGGTACTGATTGAGTTTTGGATGGCGGCATTAATGAAAATAGGTAAAACTTTGGACAACTAATGAGTCTAATGGTCATAGTTGATAGTTCACATTAACATAATAAAAAAAATGAAAAATCATAAATTAAATACTACTCCGTATTAATATTTCAGTATCCACGGACCATTTGGGATATCCCAAACAAAACTATTAATTTTCAGTATCCATTTGTGTGATTAAAATTCATTTATTTTTTTACGCAATCATAATCATACATTTTCACTTTATTTCCACCTTATTAGCTGTTCCAATTTCCAAGTTAAGTGACAAGTATTTTTTGGAACGGATGAAGTGCCTGTTTGGTAGCCTAGTTCTTCGGGTTATCAGACTTATCAGCGAACTCTTTCAGCAAAGACGCAATTTTTTATTTCACGTGTTGAATTGCGTGATAATAAGAAAAAGTTAGGTTGAAATTACTTTTCTAGCTGTATTGGCTGAAATTAATGTAGAAGTTTAATTTAGCTATCTTTACATATATCTTCTTCTTTTTTTATTAATAAAATATATTTTAAATATAATTTTTTTAATAAAATCGGCATAAACAACCAATTCAGCAACTTCAACCAGAATCTCATAAATTTCAGTAGAATCAGTCTGTCAACATATTTTTTTCAAATAAAAAAATATATGACATTTATTTTGGGACAAGTAAAAAAAAACAAGTAAAATGGGATGTATGTAATAATAATCTTAGTAATATTGGAGTTTCATTAAAAAATCTAGGTTACTTTCATAAATTCGAAAAGTAATCACTCAAAATTCATTTTATTCAATTTCAAACAATTTTTTTGGAAAGGAAATTGAAATATTATATTAAATCAAAATCCTCGGTGTGTAACTGAGAAAATAATACAACCGAGCAACAAACAAAAGCCCTAACCAACATTAACCATAAGCCCGCCGGCCCCCTCAAGTCTTGATCAGACATACCCAAAAGAGCGAGACTAATTGTTGAGCTTGTGAGAGCTTCGAGACTATTAACGGTTGAGCCAGCCTGATTGCCTCCAAACAAAAACTTAGCAACTAGAATAAACCACACAACGCACCTACCGCCATTATAAAATAACAACAAAACAAGAAATAGAAATTAGAAAATAGCACAAGTAAATAATCTTTGAGTGCTGGACCAGTTGAAACCGTCCTTAAAGTATCTTCTTCCAATCCCTAAATTCACAAATCTGCTGTGGCGGTGGTTTAGGAGGGGGTCGAATCAACACCACTCCTTACTCTTCCTTGCACACTTGTACCGAGTATTCTCCATTCCCCTTCATCAGTCTATCCATCGTTAGGTGATCTCTGCCCATGGCTAGGTGAGTCGCCCCTTTCACCGGGGCCCAAATCGCCCTTGATCCTTCTGGATCAAACACCTCCGGTACCACTGCCATCTTAGACACCAATAAAACCAAAATTGTCGAGACAAATAACGGAAAATGAAGCCTCAACATTGTTGCTCCGCTGGAACGCGCAAATAGCATCCGTGGGGGCCGGGGGGCGGATTGGAAGTAATTAGAAAATCTATAATAAAAAAACCACCCGACCCAAGCCCGGCCTCAGTGGCGGAACTCGGGGGGGGGGGGGGCTGTCGCCCCCCGTTCGCCGGAGGTTTTACTGTATATATATGTATGTATACATATTCAGCCCCGTCTCAAACATATTAAGTACTAACTATCCCGTCTTTAGACTAAAAATTGGAGTAGCAGGGATGGTTGAAGCGTTCTGCAGGTTCAGCAGAGATGTGGGTTCGATTCCCCTTGAGCCTCCTTTTTTAAATTACTAAGATACTCCTATTATACTTCTTCCTCTTTTTGGGATGTTATTGGTTTCTCAACCTTTTTATTTTTCCTACATATATTTCTAAATTACGTAGAACGGAGTAATATTTTTCCTACCACTACAAATTTCTTTCACATTTTTATTTTTCCAATTCAAAATATTTATTTGTTACTTTTTCGAATATTAACATGTTATTTACATTTATGTTTCGTACAATAACAACAAAAAATGACTTATAACTATTGCTTCCTCCTTTAAACATTAACATATATCATTTTATAAGAAGTTTATCAATAAAATTTTCAAAACTATTTGAATTTTATATTTAATCCTTGATTTACTACAAATATGCCAAAATTTCTTGTTGATATTTGAAATATCTGACTTTATATGAGTATAATTAGATTTATGTCATACATTTGCATAAACAAAACAAATATCCTTTAAAAAAAATAAATAACCTACTTCTAACTCTGATTTGAAAAGAGAAAAACAGTTAGTAACTTATATATATACTCCGTATGTTATTAATTTATTCCTCTGCTTGTTTAGCTATATTTCTATTTAAACCTTTTTATTCTAAAATAAAAGGGAAAGCGTATTAAATCGAAATAAACTCATTTAATAAACGAAATCTATTATTTTGATTAGGCACTAACAAAACAATTATAAAAATGAATAAATGTCTATATTTAAGTTGATGTGTATATGTATGTGTGCGCTTGTGTGAATTATATATAGGTACAAATAAAGTGTCACTTCATGCAAATGAGAATAACTCTTCTGCATGAATTTGAGATCAAATTACTATAAATATACCCAAAAAACGATACATTATGGATCTTCCCAACCAGCGGTTCGAATTTTTTTTAGCCCCGGCTCAAATTTTGTTCTGGTTCCGCCACTGCCCGGCCTGGTCCCGGTGGATCCCGAGCCGGTTCCGGGCCTTTCCCCACAACCAAAAAAACCTGGTTTGGACCGGTCTGGAACCAGTCCACGCCTAATTCAAATAGATTTTTTCAGTGTCGAATCACAAAACCCGCAATTTTATGATTTTACAAACAAAATAGAGATTTTAAGCGTCTTCCTTCAAGTAAATATAACAAACAAAGAATTACAGCGACAATAAGGGAATTAATTTGGTGCACAAAATAAGGGAGTACATTGATGTAACGAGAGTCTGATTTTACAAAACATAAAACCGAATTAGAAAGATTGCCGAAACAAAAATAAATTAAACATGAAGAGTGCAAGAAGGCCCATGCCATGCAATTTCCAGAAACGTACGGTTCTCAAACTTAGTTGTGGTTCTTCAGATCCTCCGCATCCGACCATCCCAGTATGCATCAACTAACCATGAAGATTACAATATACGTCAACCTGACAAAAAAATCAACATAAAACTTTTAATACTCCGTATTATTAATTAGTTATAAATCAAATGCAAAAATAAAATAAACCTAGGTTATACGTAGTATTTAAATGACCAAACAAGTCAAGGTTGCTAATTGACATAAGTTTATTGGAGACTACAATATTACACCAAGTATATGATAAACATCCTGTAATATACTGTATATACTTCATATACTTACATAGAAACTAAGAAATACCTGGAGAGAGTTTTTTGGACTTCAATATGTGCACAAGTTGTTTCACATGTTCGCCACACTCAATCGTCTCACCTTTACCATCACCAAGAACAACAGGTTTATCAAAATTAGTTGTGAGGTTATTCATTTGAAGGGTTCTTTCGGACATAGTCTCCCAATTATTTTGACATTTCACGTCAAAACTAGTTGGATCATAGGTCGGAAAAGTACCATCATCATTAAGTTGGGAAATTTCAGAGACTTTGTTTTGAAACTTTTTCAGCCTTATACATTCAGGAATCATTTGAATGAAGAATAAAAAGCCTCGGGCTATTAAGTAATCTCTTTTACGGTCATTTTTGTTCAACCCACAAAGCTCACAAATGTAGGAATTAAAAGTAGCGAAACTTAGAGAAAGACTCATCCTATTAGTAGTAATAAGATTTGCCTGCCTTTCAAGATGGCCATAAGAAGCTGGGAAACCGATTTGATGAATATCAAAGGACTTATACTCTTCGGATGAAAAAATTTGTTTCACGAGACTCAAGCTAACATCCTTGAAATACCATACACAGTTGTTTGAAGCAAATGCAATTAAATACACATCGCTTTTCTTAACAACTACTTTGATAGAAAAGTTTCCCCATACCAACTTAACAAAAAAATAATTGTTCAAGTCATACTCTGCATCCTGACGGGTTATGGGAATTTCTAAGTGGGTTTCAGATTTCAATAGGGTTAAGCACGTTTCTATGAAGTTTTCGTAGTAGGATGCATCAAGAAAGTCGGAGTTAAACACTATTTCTTCAAATTCATGGAGAGGGTGAGAAGAAGCAGACGAAGATGAAGAAGAAGGATGGTGGGGGCGAGACTTTGAAGGCTTGGGCTTTGACTTTGACTTAGAAGAAGAAGAAGAAGACATGAACGTAATCTTAGAGGAGCTTACTAGCTGTGAGAAGAAAAAAGGGATCTGTTTTATAAATGAAACAAGCTAAGTAAACAAACAAAAACTAGCAAGCAAGCAGTATAATGGATGCATACCTGCAGCTGGCTGCTCAATCGCTTTGATGATTTCGATCCGAAAGTGGTATGGTCGAAGCTCTGAAAACTGAAATTGATTTTCCTGAGCTGATCCTTTGTTTTACACTAGAATGGCAATGAAAAAGCTCCAGAAGGAGATGCTTTAATTAAGTGTGAGCAGATATATATATGTAGCGTGTAAACAGAGTAAGAAGTAGTACTGGTTACCCATAATCCGTACTTAGCTAGCTGCGGGTCTACGCTGGTTATTCATTACCCTACCCATAGCTTCTTTATAGACCTCATTATTATCGATCTCAGGGTCTTGTACTCTTATCCGTTGGTACTCCATATTCTATTAAAAAAAACAAATTTGCTCTTTGTACCCACTCATTCTATCCACCCTATACACACTACAATTATCCAAAAAAAATACCGCCTCTTTTCCCCTCCTCCCCTTTTCCCGCACCTCACCCGCGTAACTCACTTGCTCTTCCCCTTTCTTGAAAATCAAAACACCTGCCGACCACGACCACTTCCCCATACTTCTCTCCTGAGAAAAAGGTCGATTCAGTACCTGAAGTCGAGCCCGGTGGAGTAAAGAGTACATGTTCTTGAAAATCAGTTTAAATGGTACACCGTTTGGCTGTTTTAGAGCCGAAATAGTACTTAGGGTACAAACCTGCGTTATTTATGTTGATGTGGCTAACGGAATACTGACCTGGAATAAAAAAAATGCCACCTCATCCGTTAACTGAGTTTATGGTGTACAAACCCTAACCACGACCGTTGTTACCCTCAACATTACGCCAACACTTAACGAAAATCAACTGAGCATGGCTTCCGAAGCTTATAGAGGTGAAGGGGAAGGAGGAACTGAAGCAGTAATCATGGAAAACACGAATCAAAGGTATGAATACGTTGCTCATCTATGTGTAATCTATGAGTTGTATGTAAATTTCTATTCTGTAAGTATTGTATTTCGTTTTTTACATATCAGATAGAGAAAGGGCACGAAGTATTTACTTTTGAAACGGTACACCATTATAGGGACAATTTATGCACTTATTAAATGGTTTTTCTTTGTTAATGAATTTGGTATTTATGACTGTATGTGTAGTCCAACTACCCGCACAGGCTTTGACAGTGGGGTGCAAGAGGCGGTTGTTAATATTGGATTTGAAGATCCAGGGGTAGAGGCAGAAGCTAATTTGCTTTTCGAAGAGGACTTCAATTCAGAAAACGAAGATGATGAGGAATTGCTCCATGGGAGATTGGAGCTAAAAAAACTTGTCACCAAACGAAAGAGTGTTGCTAGAGGAAAGGAAAAGGTAATTCAAGAAGGGACATATGAGGATGGTGATGATAATGACACTGATTATTTGACTTCATCTGATGAGGGAAGTTACAAATCTGGGTCAGATGGAGAAGAAGAGGGGAGTTTGAGAACAAAGTCAAGATTTCCAACTTTCAAACCAGATGACAAGGTGGAGTTCAGGTTGGGTATGAGTTTTGAGTCAAAAGCTGAAGCTAAAGATGCCATGGACAAGTATTCTATCACTAACAGATATTTATACTATTGGGCAAAGAACTGTGCTGATATGCTCAGGGCCACATGCTCCAATTTAAACAAAGGCTACACTTGGATGGTGTACATTGCCATAGAAAGTAGAAGCAATAGTAAGAAGTGGGTTGTGAAGACATATCATAGTCGCCATACATGCAACCCGGACTGGCAAATACCTAGTGCAACTGCTTCTTGGTTAGTGAAGAATTTTTTCAAGTCTAAGGTTGGAGTGGCTGAGATGAAGGTGGGTGCCATGAGGGAAATGGTGAAGAGAGAATTAAACTGTGATGTTACTCTTGAACAAATGAAAAAGGCTAAGACAATGATTAGAAAGCTTGAAAAGGGAGATATAGAGGAAGAATACAGGAACTTGGAGGATTATAAGGAAGAAATACTAAGGTCCAATCAGGGTAATACTTGCATCCTAAATCTAAGGCAGCCTAGCCCAGTATTTGATAGGTTTTATGTGTGCTTTGATGCATGTAAAAAAGGATTCCTAGAAGGGTGTAGAAGGCTGATAGGTATAGATGGGGCATTTCTGAAAACTGAGGTGAAGGGTGAAATTCTAACAGCTGTAGGAAGAGATGCAAACAACCAAATGTTCCCAATTGCATGGGTATGTAGTTGTACCTTCTGAGACTAAAGCCACCTGGAAGTGGTTTATAGAGAATCTGAGAGAAGACTTGAATATTGGAAGGGGGAAAGACTGGGCTTTTGTTTCTGATCAACAAAAGGTCACACCCACTTTAACTTCTGCTATTTTTTGCTTCATATGTACCTAACATTCTGGTTTCATTTCATCGTTGAATTCTTTCATACCAATATGATATATTAACACAGTATATAGTATTACATTGTACTATATATAATTATATACTATTATATATCCCAGTATTATATTATGGAACCAAAATGTTTATAAAGCATCTTAAAGCATCTTAAAACAGTTTCAAATCAATATGTTTGTTCACTATCCACTTACAGCATCATGTTTACATGTACTATTTCATATATATATATATATATATATATATATATATATATATATCCCAACATTACATTACATATATAGTATCCTACAATGCTTACTGACTCACACTTTGATATTTTCAGGGGTTGATGCCTGTTTTATATGAGACCTTACCTGATGTTGAACACAGAAGATGTGCCAAACACATTTATGCAATTTGGAGAAGAAGTCATGGTGGTTTGGAGTTACAAAGGCAATTATGGAAGTGCTACAAATCTGCCTCAAAAAGGGAATTTGAACTCAATCTAGAGGTACTTAAAACTCTTTCTCCAAGTGCTCATGATGATATGGTGAAGATAGATCCCAAGTTCTGGTGTAGAGCCTTTTTCAATAGGAGTATCAAGTGTGAAACAGTGGATAACAATCTGTGTGAGGCTTTTAATGGTGTTATAATACCTGCTAGATCTCTGTTTGGTTTTTCTCAATTGGAATATATAAGAAAATTGGTGATGCAGAGGCTATTAAAGAATAGGAACCTGGGTGAGAAGTGGGTAGGTGACTTAGGTCCCAGGATTAGGAGGATAAACAAAAATGTATTTGCCAGTAATAATTGGAGGGTTCTTTTCAATGGTTCTGATGGGTATGAGATCTCATGTTGATCAGAGACTTATTTGGTAGATTTGGAAAGTAGGAGTTGTTTATGTGAGCAGTGGGATGTTTCCGGGATTCCATGCAAACATGCCATTTGTGCCATAAGAGATAAGGGACATAGAATTGAGGATTATGTATCTCTTTGGTATAAAAAGGGAATGTATTGCCATATATATATATTCTGAAATGATGACCCATATTGCTCGACCATTATTTTGGCCTAAAACTAATGTTAAAGTCCTATCAGCTGAGTTGAAGAAAAAAGAATTAGGTAGGCCTAGGAAGAATAGATTTAGGGAGAATGGTGAGATTCCTATGACTGGCAAGTTAACCAAGAAAGGAACTAGCATTACATGTCAACTATGTTTCAGAAAAGGGCATAACAAGAAAGGTTGTCCTGCAAAAGAGCAAATTTTGCAAGGGACAACAACATTCCCTTCTGATTTAGGAGGTGGTACTTCTCAACAACCACAAACAGTATCTGAAGAAGCAAGTCTAAATGGAGATCATGTAGTTCTTATCATGAAGCATTATGTATTGTGGGTATTACTTTTATGAAGGTCTCAATATCTTCATCTAAATTACTAACTGTATATTTTTTTAAAGGAAAATAACTCTACCTTTGCTCCTCCAAATGAGAAGAATGTGGAACCTAGTACATTGCAGAATTACTTCAGTGAAAACACAGATATGGAAGACAGAAATGGGGACAATGTGTTTCAGTTTAGGGGAAAAAAATGCTACCAGTGCTGGTGGTTTGGAGGTATACTTTGCATTGATGTTGTTCCTAATTTTCAATTTCTCCATACAATATGATAAAGTAATATTTACTTTTGTCCCTATAAACTTATAACCTGTTTTTCTTTATACAGAGGTTGAGGTAGAGGAAGGGCAAGGAGATAAGGGAAAAGGCCAGTCAAGGAAGAAAAAGGCGCTCTGAAGAAATGGAAATCACTGGGGTGTCAAGTACTGCAAGGGACAGATTTCATACCTTGTTTGACTCAATGGAAGAAGAATGTGAAGATTAGTGTTGATTTGCCACTTGTGGAAAACCTTAGCGAGATGTTTTGCTTGTATTTTGTTAACTAAACTTCCTTTTTGAACATATGTACTCCCTAACAATGATGTTTGCTTGTAATTAGTCTGTGGGAGATGATGGTTAGGTGGCTTGTTCAATTTATCTAGAATGGCACTATGAGGGTTGTGTACCCTAACTGTATTGTGGGAGTACAAATCTGCCAATAGGCTAGCTTGTACTCTCATAATTCATGAATGGATTGGTTAAAAATCTTTGTTTTGATTAGGATGGTTGCCATTTCTTTTAATGTAAATGTAATGACATTACCAGGCTTTTTTTGGACTACAAAGCTTCTAATTTGTGCATTCTTTCCTTGTTAATATTTGTGCCATATACGGTTTCTTGTTAGCAGCCTGTTTTGCTAGCTTCTAATGTTGATATGTGTTCCTATTACACGTAATGTCAGGCTATTTAGCTTCAAAATTTAGCAGGTTTCTTGTTAGTATGTTTTGGTAGCTTTTAATGTAAATGTATTGACATTACCAGGCTATTTTGGTAGCTTCTAATGTGTTCCTTGTTAATAGTCAGCCCATATATGGTATCAACTAGCAAGGTTCATATAGGTACAATGTATGGATTATATAGGTTCACATAATATCAGAGTTCATATATGGTTATTACACCACACCTCATCAAATTAACAGCAATAACAGAGTTCACAAATAGGGGTATAATAGTCTCTTAATCACTTCTTAGTCTTATTTTTGGAAATTGGAGGAGAATGCCACTTTTTTGTCCATAGCTCTTTTTTAGTACTCCCTCCGTCCCGAAAACAACTTCCCGGTTGGACTTTCACACACTTTTAGGAAATAAATTTGACTTTACTGTAGAATGCACTGTTTTGCACTGTTTAAACACTGTTTGACACTGTTTAAACACTGTTTGGCACTGTTTAAACACTGTTTGGCACTGTTTATCACTTTTTTGATGTAGATAATTTGCCAAATAAGGAAAGTATTGAAGTGTGAAGTTAAGTTTGGGACATCCATTTAAGGAAAGTGGGAAGTTGTTTTCGGGACGGAGGGAGTATTATTTTAGACAAAACCCCTTATTATAAATACGGAGTATATGATTTTAACAGAAATAAACTATTCAATCAATGACAGGGCCTCACGCCAACAAACAGTAACAACACTCCAATTCAAAATGGTTAGATTCATTGATAAAACTCAATTACCCAATAATCCAATTCAGTGTGTTGGTGCTTTAGGCGTGAAGGCGGTTTACCCTAATTCCATACGGACCAAAGCATGTATTTTGTACAGAGCACTAACTTAACGCCTTAACAGGCTACCGGTCCGGACCTGTTTTTTCCGGGTTTGAGTCAGACCGCACCGGAAACCCGGAATCGTAAAATATTAAGAACCAAAACCCGGACCTGTTTATACAGGTCCATTCTGGACAGGTCCATTCCGGTTCGATTCAGGTCCAAATTACGGTCTAACCCGGTTAATGCACACCCCTACGCTATAACCTCTTCCGGGCCGGGTCAGAGTAAGTTTTTCCCAATCCTACCCTACATCTGAGGCTTCAGCTCTCGATGCTTTCATTTTGCCTTAGCCTAAGCATTGCTTTTGAAAGGCAATTTATTTGTAACGGCAATTTCTCTGCTTTAATCGCTACACCCCTCCCATAATATTCCCAAAGATCCCAGTTTTAACTTTTAAGCATGTCTGTTCAGCTATGTTACGATCCTTCGAAGGCTGGAATAGAAGTAGACAAGTGTGCTCTAATTCCTCCGGAATCTGGTTTTCACCTTGTGTGTCTCTGCGAAGAGTGTGTTCCAAAACTAAGAGAGCTCTCTGCTTTTGAGAAAGAGATAAAATCCAAGCGGCGGTTTGTCGAGGTTTGTCGATGTCAGTACTAATACTTCAATAGAGGAAGATAATAGAGGCAAAAACGCATAAATAATACTACGTATATAGGTTAATCGATCAATATTTCTTCTTCGTTGGTTTGTATGATTTGATGTGCAAGCAGGAATACCTATACCTAATCAATCGGACACAAGATCGGAGTGTGTTTCTTTCTACAGCCGTTGAGCGGACGAAAAAGATGCTGGATTTACTTCTCAATAACCTCTCAACAGCTTATAAGGTTCTTATGTTTACCCTTGTGCATTAATATAAGTTTTTGAGTGCTTATTTTAATGAAATATGAATTCCATAATCAGAGTTATGCTAGTGCTAGTACTATTTTTACCGTTAAAGGGAAAAATAATTCAAAAAACACAACTTTAACTGAGGTGGCTGAGGTGTGGGTCCCAAATTTACATTTAAAATAATTATAATAACTTTTGATTATACTACGTAAATGATATCAGCACCATCAACCGAGATTATTTATTTCAGAAATAGAAGCTTAGTAATTACTAATTAGTATGCTGAATGCACCCTCCTGGATGTTTGTAGTATTTAAATCACGAACTTTACATCATAAACTCTGTTTGTGCCTGAAAGAATCTGTATCCATGATGATAGGAAGACCTTTAATACATAGTTCATGATATTTTTCTTACACATTCTTGTTTGGGATATTCAGCTCTCACATCTCCAAAGTTCACATAATTTGAATTACTTTTTCCCTATTTCTAATATTATCTTAATCATTTTTATTACTGTTGTTCTTATAATTTATTATTTGTTTCAGAAGTCGGGAATCTCATTTACGCTTCAACGAAGTGCTTCTGTAGTCAAACTTGAACAAACTGATTTGGTAATAGCTAGATTGCTAGTACAGCATGACCTCATGAATGACTTTGAGAATGAAAATGCAATTGAGATTTGTGATGAAGATGATGATGATGATGATGAAGGGGAGAATGAGGAAGAGGAAGGGAAAGAGGAGAAAACTGATGAGATTATTCCTATTGGGTCTAAGATCCGTTCTCTGGTAAGTTAAAAAACTAGTCTGCCATCATAACCAACAATCCAAGCTTTATACACTAATAGTTTTGCTCCTTAGTTTCTTGGAAATTTGTCTTCGGTTAATTTTATTGCTCAGACCTGGGCTCTTTGCTTGGGCAGCTATATTTGTATGGGGAAACCAAGGTTAAAGATGTTGCTCATAGCCTACTTGAAAGGATTGGTAATCTAGAAAAAGAACTCTGGGAGGCTCAGAAATCTGCTGTAGGAGAAAATAAACCAATGGATCCCTTGATTCCCATGAAGTGCATTGAAGAACAAATTAGGGTAACATTATCTCTACACAGAGTTTTGCACCTTCCTGCAAAGTTTATTTCTTTAATTGGGCTAATTAATATGCATGACATTTACAACGTTTCAGCTTATAAAGAAGCTGCCAGTTGAAGAATTGTACGATGAAGTTAAAGAGCTGGTTTCTCAACTAACCCACAGGAATGAGAAAGTGGGAACGGCTCTCGCAGCATCGGATGTCGTATCCAATACTTGTGATGCTATGATTCAAATAAGGAATGATTTCTTGCGAAAGTACAATAAGTGTGATGTATGCATATAAAATATAACTCATTAATCTTTGAAATCAAATCTCGTGTTTACAAAAAATGTATGGTTTGATTCCATTTGATTAGTTCTTTTTCTTGTGTTTTTTGTGTAGATTTCGTCCTTGACAAACGGAAATGGAAATAAACACGGTTTGAATGGATTCGGAGAAACCCTTGATTCTCTATTGATCCAGGTTTGTCCGATAAAAATCTCCTTATTTATTTTAAGACTTGAATCTATTATGTATGTAAGTATGTACTTCGTATATGTTTTTTCATTCTTAATAATCATCTCCAATGAATTAGGTTAAATTGTTTAAAGATCGTTGGGAGACAGACTATGCCCCTTTCTTTACTCCATATGATCGGTTAGACCCTAAAAGGCAACGGACTGATTGAATGCTGTGGATAGTTTTGCCTCCAGTTTCCTGATGTCGAAGTTAAATATCTGATGTTTCTTCTGGTGGGTATTGTATTTTTTTGAACAAACCACCACGATGGCTGGCTGGTTGACCTCAAGTTTGCCTTGGGAACCCTTCAAAGCTCAATGCCTGAAATATGTCTGGGGTTACATTTTGTACTGCTAACTCGTATAGTTATTATGTCTATTATTTATAACTATTATAATAATAATAGTACTACTACTATTATTGCTCTTGCTCTTGCTCTTGCTCTTGCTCTTGCTCTTGCTCTTGCTCTTGCTCTTGCTCTTGCTCTTGCTCTTGCTCTTGCTCTTGCTCTTGCTCTTGCTCTTGCTCTTGCTCCTGCTCCTGCTCCTGCTCTTGCTCCTGCTCCCGCTCTTGCTATTGCTATTTTCATGTTTCTGATGTGGAAATGCTAAAAGTTGTAAGAAGCATTCACTTGATATGCTGTTTTAATCGTGGTTATTGATATTCATTATATTTGGAGGCTTGGAGCTCTACTTGATCATCTCCTTGATTGATTCCCTTCTGGCTAAGCGTAGGGCTAATCCCCCATCCCTTTCTCCCAATGCTCTTTAAAATTGAAGATCTTTCAATTTCCGAATCATCTCTCAATCCTAAAGTGGCTATCATTGATGATGGTATGATACACATTTCATTTTTTTGTTTAGAGATGAATCAATAATTAATACTCCCTCCGTCCCATAATTATCTTCATTCTTTTCTTTTTGGTCCGTCCCAAATTTATCTCCTCTTTCCCTTTTTAGCAAAGGATTTGTGGTTCACAACCATTCTTACACATTTCTCTCTCTTCTGCACAACTTTCCACCACACATTTCCCACTTTCTTAATCTCCGTGCCCAGTCAAAACCGAAGTTAATTCTGGGACGGAGGGAGTATTAATAAGGATAACAAGATACAAAATCATATTACTTTGGGTTGGTTTGCAAGCTTTAAAAAAAGCAATTCTTAGTTTTTGGCTTAAAAATCACTTATTTTACCAAACAATACCAACTTTTATTTTTCTTGACTTTCGTGTCAAAAGTGCTTTTACTTTTTCTATTACACAAAAAACACTTATTTTTCCAAACACTACTGACTTTTACTCTTCAAAATCATTTTTTTCTCAAACACTATCAACTTTTATTTAGGGAGTGTTTGCAACTACTTAAAAAAAAGTATTTCTCAGCTTTTGGCTTAAAAAGCACTTATTTATCAAACACTCCCAATTTTTACTTTTTCTCGGCTTGGGTGTGAAAAGTGTTTTTCCCTTTTCTATTACACAAAAACACTTATTTTACCCAACACTACCAACTTTTACTTTTCAAAATCACTTTTTTCTCAAACACTATCAACTTTTACTATTAATAATTTTTTCCTTACATCTCCATAAGTGTTTTTTTTAAGCAGAAGCAGTTGCAAACACTTCATTAATCACTTCTCCCCATTTCATTAAAAAAAGCACTTTTTTTTTAAAGCGGTTGAAAATATTGAGACACAAAGCTAGAAAATTGCGTATTACTGATCACCACTCGCTAAGTCGCTAACCTTAATAAGGAGATTTTAAAATAATTAAAATGTTATGTGATGAAGAAATATACCAAGAAATAAGGCCCTAATTTTCCAGCAACTGTGAAGGAATTTGTGGTTATTTGGCCCATGTCAAAGTATCTGAGCAGGGTTGGCATTTTGAACTTCAAAAATGAGAACTGAATTGAAAAAACTCAAATCGAGCATTACAAAACAGAAACCAAAAACGGGCTTACTTGAATCGAATTTTTACTAACTAACACTACAAGTTTTCCTAACGTTTAAACATGTTTTTAGTCTCTTCAAATAAGGTATATATATTATTCTATCTTTTCGATTTCTGTTTTTTGCTTTTTATCACTGAAAAATTGTGTTGATTTTCTTTTTAGTCTATCACTAATGATAACATCTTATGTTTGACAACGAAACAACTTTGTCTAATAAGTTTTCTCTAATTCTTTATTATGTTATTCAAAAATTATTAAATTTTACATTTAATGATTTTGAATACGTACATTTTTTTGGAACTGATTTTGAATACGTACTTTAAAAATAAGAATACCCAATTTTACATTGTTCTAAATTTCATATTAGTTTAAAAATTTATAAAAATATAAATTTAAGTGTTTCTAGTAGATTTATGTAGCCGGCAAGAAATATGAAACAATTTAATTTTCCCAACATAAAATATTATCCAATCCTAGATTCCTAGATAAATTTAACATGAGGCCACGGGACATACCAAGGGGTCCCCACAACAACGTGGGTCCCGACCCACGAATTTTTTTAATATTAGCTAAAATTCAACTTCTAGAACAAATTACCAAAATCTTATTTATTGTATTTTTGAAATTTTTATTTAGCAAAAATTTATGTCCGGGGGATGGTGTGGCACACAATCGCCCTCTTGGATATATGTTAGTTAAAGGTGCTCAGAGAATTGGAAATAGTATAAGGATTTTCGTTCAGGTTGGTGAGCGCACTCTTGCATTGGAGGAGAATAGGAGATTGAGGGTCAAACAAGAAGAAGATTATTGAATTTGAGGAAAATGGAGGTCAATTTTTCGTATAAGAGGCTCCCAAATTTTTGTTTCTTATGTGGGATACTGGCCGGGACACGCAGAACACTTTTGCCCGTCGATTACGTGCATGTCAGTACAAAAAAACACGTTATAGTCACGGATTTTAGTCCGTGACTAGTTTTGTCACGGACTAGTCACGGACTAGTCACGGATATTTAAAAAATAAATTAGTCACGGATCTGGCTGTGACTACATTTAGTCACAGTCATTTCCGTGACTAAAATGGACCGATAACTCCGATCCCGTTTCCGGCGGGGTTTGTTTTACACCGGCGACTTAGTCACGGACACATCTGTGACTAAATCCGTGTCTACTAAAAAAATTTAATTTTCCACAGCTCAGAAATTAATTCACAACGGTATTCTGTACGGATAAATTTAGTCACGGAAATTTCTGTAACTAATTCCGTGACTAAATTCAATAAAATTATTCGCACGCGTACTTTACACGTCATTTACACGGTTTGGACGCGTAATGTACACGGTTTTGCGTAGTGACGGACAAATCCGTGACTAAGTCCGTGACTAAATTTTTTATATATGCAGGAGCAGCTCATTCAACGGAACCACACCAATTCATTCCCAGTATATAACACAGTAGCTGTTTGAAAGATCGAAGGATGTAGTCTATCATATGTCATTATCCCTGTTTACACAGACAAGGTATGTTATTTAAATTATTACTTTTATTTAGAATTAGTTGGTTCAATTTAAATTATTAACACTATTAAATTAGTGAGGTTGTTAATTAATTAACAAAATATTTAACTACAAACGTAGTGATGTCATAAAATTAGTTAAATTTTTAGGTTTATAAAATAATTTAATTAAAATTAGTTAGCTAAACGTAGTGACGTGGTAAGTCAAATTAGTTAGCTAAACGTAACGTAGTTTAAAACGTAGTGATGTGGTAAGTCAAATTAGTTAGCTAAACGTAACGTACGTAGTTTTAAATGTAGTGATGTGTTAATTAAGTAAAATTAGTTAGCTAAACGTAACGTAGTTTTAAACGTAGTGATGTGTTAATTAAGTGAAATTAGTTAGCTAAACGTAACGTAGGTTTAAACGTGGTGATGTGTTAATTAAGTGAAATTAGTTAGCTAAACGTAACGTAGGTTTAAACGTAGTGATGCATTAAGTTAAATTTAGTAAAATTAGTTAGCTAAACGTACGTTTTAGCTAATTAAGTTAAATTAGTTAAACTTTTGATATTATTCGTTAAATTTAAATATTAATTAATTGAAATGCGTTTAAAAAGGGTTGTTATTTAATTAACGAAATGAATTATTTAAATTTAGTTTGGATTAAAACATTACTTATATTTTGTGCATTATTATTGTGAATTGTGTATTATTTATTAATTCAAATGAGTTTATATATATGCTCAAATTATTGGATTTTGTCATATTATTTAATTTAGTGAATTGTTAATTGTGTATTACTAATAAGATTAAATGTCATTAACGTAATAATTTAGTGTATTTAGTGTTGGAACGGATATTATTGGTTATTTGTTAATAATTGAAATGATAAATGACATTATATTAACGTATTGGCTAGTTCTAGTTAATTAATAATATTAATTGAACATTATTGTAATTAATAATATTCAATTACATTGAACTTTAATTAGTAAAATTGAATATATTAACAATACTCCACATATGTTGGTACGTAATGTTTAGAATTCAGAGTTTTTAATAACCTGTATAATTTTTTTATTATACACGTTCAGGCATAATGTATAGACAAAACAGAATTTGGATGTATGATAAACATGCGATATTGGATGGAATGCAATCAAATTTTCTTGAAGGAGTTGGGGAATTTATTGCGTTCGCACAAGAACACCCGGCTTATATGAGTGGTGATAAAATCAGATGTCCATGTTCAAAGTGTAAAAATCTCAAATTTAAAGACCCAGAAGAAGTTGGGTGGGATTTGTACGTGGAAGGATTCGTTCCCAATTATTATAATTGAACTTATCATGGCGAACCTTTGGATCCATCTGTTTTACCACAAATGGTAGGTTCGTCTCGTAATGTCCCTGCAGAGATGAGTGCGTGGGGAGACCCTGCTGAAATGAGATGGGAGCAACGTATGGTATATGACACATTCGGTGCATTGATGTCTCAGTTCAACCACCACAACCATCTGATTATCCTCCTGAAGCATCGACCTCGTATCAACCAATTGCGGATGAAAATCCGATATTTTATCAACCTTATGTGGATGAAGGTTTAGCTGAGAGATTTCAAGATGTTTTAAAAGCTGCCGATCAACCCCTGTATGCTGATTGTGAGGGATACTCTCAGCTATCCGCCGTTACAGAGTTTATGAACATAAAAGCTGAATACAGTCTCCCTGAAACTTGCATGACTAGAGTCTTGCAGTCAGTAGGAGGGATGCTACAAGGCGTTCGAGAAAATAATCCATCCATACTCAGTAGTGAACATACATAACAACATCACATTTAAACCAATGAATAACAGAAATATTCAACGGTAAATCATAAGCCACATTCGACATACAACATGGGCATGCAAGCCCAAAAGTAGCTTATATTAAGTAAAATATCCATGAACAATGTTTGGTAGTTTGAAAGAAAATAAGGAAGTACGAACCACGTCTTCCTTGATTTGATTCCACCCGTAGAAATGTGCAAGTAGCAAGCCCTAGCTTCAACCTGAAAATGGTGGTGGGGGGGGGGGGGGGCAAAGGGGTCAGTACGAGTACCGAGCGAGTAGCAGACTAGGTATAGAATAACTAGCGTTTCAAGTATAAGACCCAACATAGGGTGATACTTATATAAATAGTCTTTTCCCCCCAAGTTAAGAAATACTTATTAGTATATATACACTTGGAAAATACCTGATCCGTAGATCACCGTTTTGTTTAGGAAAATCGCAATAGTCAATATTCTTGACTAAAAACCCCAACCC